AGCTCAGGAGGGAAATGGTTAAACGCTTTATAAGAGGGAGGAAAACAGTAAAATGGGCCTTATTTGTTCTGTAATGAGACTCCAGGTACCAAGGCGAAGAGTTACTGACTGTCAGTGAGCGCAACAAATAGAAAACTGTCTTATACACTGTTCTAGAAGGCTGAAAGGTCATAAAAAGGATTTAGCACTATCGCAGGAGACAACTTTGTTTAAACAGTGTCATTAGTCTCTTCGTAGCTCTTTTTATAGTGCTTTCTGCTGTGTTTCGTTGCTCTCTTCTATTTTTTTTTCCCCCCTCTCTCCTTTTTCAGTGTGGAAGTTGGTGCAATCTCCTCAAAGCCACCTGGTGCCAAGGTGGGCTGAATGCTGCATGAAGTGGGGTCTTGGGGGGAGGGGGATTGGGAAAATGGGCTGTAAGGAACTGGAGGTGATGGGATGGCGGTTGAGGAATGGCCCTCTGACTTTGTGTTGTGTGTTTCAGAGGTAAAAATCCCAATGCTTGTGATTGGGAGAGACCATCCTGGTGCTTGCATCTCATGTGAGCATGGACAGGCAGAGATCATTGGGGTCACATGCGTTTTCCTCATCTATAGTGGCAAGAATGGTGCTACGAGGGGTGGGAAGCGCAGGGATGGCTAAAGAGTGCTCAACTATGTGGAAAAAAACAATTCAGGTTTGAAGTAGACTTTAGTGTAGGAAATGGGAGAGCTTGTGCACATAGACCCTGAAAGGGCAGGAGATGGCAGGAAAAAAAAAATAAATCTGTGAAAAGACTTTGCCAACAGATATGTCATTCAGGAGTGGTTCCTATAACCAAAGAATGGCAAACAGTACTCTTTATGAAAGGAGGAGGAAAAGCAATCCAGGCAGCGAGTGGCTTTTCACAGTCTGCAAAGCTTTAGACAAATTGTGAAGGAAAGAATAATGGGATGAAAATAGGACCAGGTCCAATCCAGTCTTACAAAGGCACATTGAACCTGCTTGCCTTGATATTTTTTGTTGGTAGGAGAACTGGTTCCCTCCACAAAAGAAAAATGCATTTCTTCTTTGGCTGGCTTTTGGTTAAGTAATGTTTTGGGGATGTTTCAGTGGATGAAAAGAAATGAATCATCTGTGCTAAAAGACAATGCTGGTACATGAAGAAGTACTAATATACAATAAAAATAAAAAAAATAACCTGGGAAATGGGTTCTTAGCAGTTGGAAGAGAAGCTTTTGCTGGGTTTGAGAAGGGCTGAGGGATGCTTCAGCCACAGCAAATGCTGGAGCAGCAGCACGAGACTGCCTTGTCCCCATAGGCACCACTGATGCAAGGCCCAGAATGAAAGGAATGGAGAAGGAGGGATTAGCAGGATTAGTGATGCAAAACTTGCTGAATTTGCCTGGGTTTTCATTCAAACCAAATCTAAGCACCCAAATATTCATAGTGCACAGTCAGGGTGGTGAGCATGGCTGACATGACCTTGGTGGAGCCCAGCTGATGTGCCATCCTTCACCAGTACTGCCTGCGGAGACGCGGCACAGCCATGAGCATTTTCTTCTAATCTGTGCCTTGCATTAACAAATGGAAGGGACCAATAAGGATCATTGAGTCCACCTTGGGAGCTTCTATAATTCAGTTCCCATTTATCTCTGGGACGTGGTTGCGTTAGGAGAGTGTTTGTTTGGCAAGAGCAGATGATGCACTGCAGGGATGCTGGGGCTCCAGCAGGATCCATCCTGGTCCAAAGAGCGTAAGAAAGGCAAAATATGCAGCAGGAAACTCCCTTTGCTCTCGCTGCTGCTGCTGCTTTTTCTCTCGTGCCACATCTGACCCTCCTTCTGCAAAAAAGTAGGGAAGACCCGGGTCCCTCCTGCCCTTTCCTGTGGGGTTTTGCTGTGCTCCTGGAAAAAGAGGCTACCAGCAGAGGGCACACAATATATGGAGATGGAGATCCCATAAAGTCCTGCGAGCAGCGGCCTCCAGGCACTCCTCAGCACATTTTTTTCCAAAAGGGGAGAAATCGAGGCATGGAGAGAAGTGGCCCCTCCAAAATTGGAGACAGTTGGAACACAATGTGTGTCCTGCAATGCAGAGCTCTGATATTCATTGCTCTACACAAGGAAGCTTTGATTTGGTTTCACTTCTTCCCCTCAGACTCTATTTTTGGTGTTTGGGTGTACTTTTATTTTTTTCCTTCTGCCTGACTGAGGCACTGAGGATCTGTATTGAGGCACTTACAGTCCAAAAGCCCCAAATCCGACAGGGCTGGTTTGGGTGCTCATTGTCCTGGGTGCAGAGGTGGCTCCAATCAAAAACATTTCAACCTTCATGAATGAAAATTTCTTTCAACTACTTCCAGGTCCTTTGGGTTTCCAAATACTAAGTCAGCTGCAAATGTTGCTTGAAAATGCTTAGCAAGGTGGAGTCCATTGGCATCAATCAGTCACTGAAGACGGCCAGCTTGTTTTCTTGCTCTTCGTTCATATTCCTTCCCAGCAAACCTCTGGAGGTGTCATTAAGAGCAGTGAGCTCTTTGGAGGCGGTCTAATGGCTGCTGAGCAGGTCGGTTCTGCATCATTAATTTGCTTCTCAGCTTCTCTCCCTGCCGCAAACTGAGGGCAGTGAGTGGCTCCTCAGCAGAGAAAGTACCTACTGGGGGTTCTGCTATGACCCCCAAAAAGCCCTGCACCAAAGCAGGATGATGTGCCTACATAGAGGGATGTACTCAGCATCATGTTGCCTGTGTGGATGGAAACATCTGGGTTGACTGACAAGCCAAGCACCCACCTCCTGGCCCAGAAGCAGCTCTCCAGTGATGGGACCTGCTTCTCACCAGCTGCTTGGTGGCACTGGGGCAGGACGCAACAAGGCAGCAGCGCAAGGAGAGAAGGGAGGAGCAGCAGTGGCACACGTACCAGGTACAGAGCCCAACATAGCACAAATGAATCTGTGGTGGGTTCTGAGCCCTGTATCCTCCATCTGTGGTCAGTTCAGGAATTTGGGAGCATCAAAGTGGTTGTGCTAAGCCAGCAATTGGCTCTCTGGCAGCGTTAGTGCAATAAATCACAGTTATTAATGTCTGTTTGCTTATTTATTCTCCCAGAATTACTCAGTGGGGCCTAGTTTCCCTTCTTGTCCTACCATAGCCCCTCTACATTATTAAAAAGAACCATCCTATTAAATAATCTCAGAAAATAACCCTGGAAATTGCACCTCAGCCTTAAAATGGAGGGCTGAAAACATCCCTGGGAGCTCCTCATACATGTCACCTGAAAATAATAATTCTAATTAGCTTCCATGCCTGCCCTTGGGTCCAGGCTAGTAAATCCTAATGAACAATCGCTGATTTGAAGTATATTCTTCTGAGTTATTTAAGACAATAAGTGTGCCTCGTTCCAAGGGAACAGTTAACAGCAATGGTGGGTCACTGACTGGCACATCCCCTTGCAATGAGCAAGGCTGGAGGAGCAGATCACTGGTGTTTTCCATGAGACCTTGGGAATGCTGAAGCATGACTTGTAGAACACCAGGGCCAGGGAAGCCTTAACTAATAGAAACATCTTTGCAAAAGAGCACTTTCAGGGCAGGCTGGATACCGAGTGATGTGACTGCTTAAAGCAGCAGTGAGGGCAAGGTGACTTGGGCTCAGTCTCCTGCTAGCAGCTCAGTTTCAGGCTTGAGGCAGTAGTCAGGATGTCCCTGCTTTTCTCCCTGTGTGGGCATGGCCTAAGAGAGAATGAACTGTTGGACCCTGATTGACGAAATGGGGACAAGCTACAGACTGAGGCAGGATAAGAGGTGGCTTTATTCCCGTGAATTACCCAGGTGGCAGCAGATGTGAAAGCAAATCCTTGCGCATCTTGGCTGCTGAGCAAGCGTCCTTCTCCCCCCCCTTACAAAACACGTGCTGCCACTTTTCTCCTATAAATCAGCACCTCTTTTCAATGCTCAGCTTTGCAGCAAACTGGATTTCCCTTAACAGGTGAAATTCTGTAAAGCACCTGCTTTTCCAAGAGCAGCATCTCCTTCCCTCCTCCGCATAAGAAGGCTGAAGCAGCTCCTGCTACGGAAGAGCAGGTGGACAGATGACCATGCTGGGGGCACCCAGCACAGAGCTGTGCAGTGGGATGTAAGCCAACAGCATCCCTCAGACACCTGCAGCACATTGGGGTGACTGCCCACAAAGGAGCACCCAAGCAGAAGCCAGCTGCAGTCTCTCAGCACTGTAATCGTGTTATTCAGAAATGCAGTTTTTCTGTGCACTTGATGTCTGTTTAGCCATGTCCACTGAGCTGTTCTTTGTCCTTGTCATGGTTTTATGATTTTTGGTCATCAATATTCCACACCATAACATCATGTAATGCACTGGGGGTGGGGTTTGATATCTGCCGAATGTTCGTCCGTCGGAGAAGAACTACATTTCCCCAGGAGGCTTTGCGGTCAGCAAGGGGATATAACTCCATGCAAGGTCACCTGAGCCTTCTTCTTCGCCTGCTCTTCGCTGTCTGCGTTTCGCCATCTGCACTTCGCCGTCTGTACTTCAGTCACTCAACTGGACTGCACTTCTCACCCCAGGATTGTGGTGAGGTCTATACAATTCAAACAGACTCTCTCTCTCTCTCTCTCTTTGTAGTTTACTAATACTATATTTAGTAAAATCATTTGTTCCACCTCAGATCAGTGCTGTTGTTTTTTTCAAGTATTTTGGGGTCCCCTGCTTCCCCTTTCCCAGAGGCGCGGATCCGCAGATCCCTCCGCCCTGCTGGTCACGGAACTGGGCCGGACCAGCCCATAAACCGTTGACAGTCCTGCAGATGCATTTAACCTATTGCTTCTAGCTTGTTTGCACTTTTATTTACTTGCCTGTCTCTCTAGGTCTATAAATAAGAACATTTTCACATACAGAGTTAATGGAAGGGCAAAGGTGGGATGGAGTAGGACTTCTTGCATTCATTTGCCTTTAGTTTGCAGAAGACTTGTGTTCTTGCTTGTTTTTCAGATGCAGCCTGAGCTGCCTGGCTCCCGTTACATCTAGCAAGAGCTTTACTTCTATAAGCATGTGCTGTCTCTTTAGGCTTGTGTACCTGCTTCTGTTGGAAACCTACAACACGCAGAAAAAAGATGATGGGAAAGTTCAGCACTGGGAAAGATGATGGGAAAGATCAGCCACTGATATATGCACAGCTGCCAGAGCGTTGCCCCATAGGTGAGACTGGAGCATTTTGCAATATCCACTTCTCAGTTACCCAGCAAAAACATTTTACACCTCCCTTCCTTTTCAGGATTATCCTAAGCAATTCCTATTCACTTTGGTACTGCTGCCATAAAGCAAAGAGGCAGCTGCAGAGATTTTAGCTAGAAGCTGCATCTCCAGACCTACCTGTGGCATAAGTGGGAGCCAGCCCACAGTACCTGTGGCATGATGGGACCACGTGCAATACATGGGTCAATGTATGATTCCCATCCAGCCTTGTAGCAGAGTCTGCCAGCAGCTGCCTGGGAAGCCTTGGGCTGCAGGGAGTAAAACTGACTTTGACTTTGCCTTGCACTTATCTCCAGCAACTACTGCTCAGATTTTCTATGTCTTGCAAGCTTTGGAGAAGGTGATGAGCAGACGGTGCACTCCACCAGGACAGAGAGCCCCGCATCCTCTGGGTGTCCGCCTGTCCATCCTGCACAGCCCTGAGATGCTATTGCAGGGGAGGAGCAGACCAGGTGTCCCAGACAAGGTTTGCAAACCAGGACGTGACTGCACCCAGCCTGCACCCGGCACGTGCAGCTGTTCGATGTCTACAGTGTGGGATTAAAATAGCCAGCGTGCTCCTCGTGTCCCACAGCTCTCTGCTTTGCAAAGCTGGAGCCTGCAGCAGCCCTCTCCCACAGTCCCACCAAGGGACACCCCTGGGCCAAGGGCACTGCATGGTGAAGGCATGCACTTGTATGGGGCCTGCAGAGCTCTGGGCTGTGCCCTTGGGGACTGGCTGCATGGACTTATTTCAGTTTTTGGAGACAGGAGTTAGCAGAGTTTCATGGGAACGCTTTATACTTTCGCTGTGCATTTGGTCCAATATTTTCTAATAGTTCTAAATCAGTTACTCATTTAACCCGGGCTGAATAAAGAGATTTTCAGAGGCTGAAATTTTGGCCTCGGAGCAATAAAGTCTTTCTAAATACTGCAGAAGCTGAAATATTTATTTTTGGCTTTGTTCGCTGTCTAAAGTGATGAAAGGATTCTTTCAGGCAGCTGCTCTCTGTGTCTTGTAAAAGTTGGCTGCTCCACAAAGAGGGAGAAAAAGATGCTCCCCTGACCTTCTGACACTCTTTGTGAGCCTCATGCTTCATATAGAGCCTCTTCTGCTGACTTCCCTGGAGCCAGAGACCACTTGGATGTCACCATCTTGGGCTGTCACCTTCCAACACACGTTGCTGCCCAGCCAGGGAGAAGTTCATTTTGTCATTAAGGCATGGGGGAGCCTGGATCTGCTCCTGTCACAGGCTTCTTGCATGAGGCCAGATGATAGACTGCTCGGGTAAGATATTGTCTCTGTAAGATTGTTAATGGTTTTGTTCTCTTGATTTCAGCTTTGGAGGCAGTTTGAGGAACACAAGCTCCATAGGTGTTATGTATGGAATTAAGGCAGAAGAATAATAGGAGCTGGCAGAAGGGTGCGTGGGCTCATGTTCTGTGCCTATGCAGTGCTGGATCTTGGTGACAGTGGAAGGAGGGAGCAGAGCAGTGCTGACCCCATTGCAGGTGAGTTTATGGGATGCTGAGCACCATGCAGGTACTCTGAGGACGAATACCCATTGCAGACTACAGGTGTTTGGGCTTTGATTAAAGACAGTAAAGTCATGGCTGCTGCCTCACCAGGCAGGGTGGCAATGCAATAAATCAAGATAAAATCAGCAGAGCATTAAACAAGCCATGAGTGATTTACAATAAATTGTGTAAAGAACATCATAGGAGTTTCATAGCACGAGGAAATTACAGCTGGAGCAGGGTGAGGCGCTGCTTAGTTCTAGTTTCCTCTTGCATTCAGCTGCAGTCCTGCGTGGGCACTGCTTGTGCTACCTGCGTGCATCCCAGACCCTGAGCGCTTTGCTGCTTGATGTCTGAACCCACAGAGCACTGCAGTGTTTTGCCTCTTTGGTTATACTTCCTTACCTTGTGTTTGCTGCCCAACAGTTGTCTTTGAGGGCTGGAAGAGAAATGTCAAACCACTTAGTGTGTGTAAAAGGCATCTGCTTGCTTCCCCTCTGTGGATGCGTAACGGTCCCAAATTAAATTATTGCTCATGCAAAGCATCTTCTAATATATTCAGCGCATACATATTCTGTATATATCCCTGTGTACGTTAAACCCCCTAATATATTCATCTCCTTGACATCATCAGCTTGGGTAATTCGTTTAAACTATTAGCAGCTATTTAAAAGACTTTTTCCCCATAAGATTTGGTTCTTAGTGCAAGAAAGGTCATTTTGTCCACTAAATTAGTGAGTCTGTACCATCAGCAGTTTGCCTCAGTGATTTCAAGTATTCTGTCACACCATAAATGCATTTACCAACAATAAAATCAATTAGAATAATTTTACCTCTGATGGGGCCTGACCTACAGTGAAGTCATTTAAATGAACAAATTCATTTTAATTCATTTTAAATCTACTCAGGTACTTCTTTAGTTAAATTGTGCTTTATTTCCCTTTAATTTTCTGTTGTCTTCTGCGTGGAAGAATAAATTGTCTGCAAGAAATCAGATTCTTGCAGCCTTTAAGGTTTTAGATCTGCACCAAAAGTGTTTTTGATACTGGCAACAGGCTGAAAAGTCATTATTTTTGTCTTGTCTTGCCCATCTAATAAACAAGTGGGAATGTAGCAGGTATCTGAAAAAGCAAAGCTCCTCTCATTCTCACTGCATAAGGCTACAGAGTCATCAATGACGTTAAGGAACATGAAATTTCAGCTCTGTGGAAGGAAACGCTCTTGCTGCAGCAAGCAAAGTTATCCAAAATGCAGATGGGAAGAGTAGCATAGGTGCTGATGAATGCTGGATGGCGTTCAAATTGACCACAGGTCCAAGAGGAGAGTTGCCAGTAGGTATGTAAAGGCAAAGCAATGGGACAGCAAGCCTCAAGCCAGCCTGACTTTGTTTTTTCTTTGCAGGGACAACACTCTGTATCTCTGGGGCTTTTGGTGTCGGCTCCCTCTCACCAAGCATGTGTGCATGTATGTGTGTAAGCACTGTGTTGTGGAGACGAAGACATAAGCAAAGGGCAAACACGGAGACCAACTTCTCCCATTTCAGGTTTGCCTTCCAATAATTTTCACTGAATCAGAGAATGGTTTGGGTTGGAAAGGACCTCTAAGGGCCATCTGGTCCCCCTCCATGCACTGAGCCGGGACACCCACAGCTCCATCAGTGCTCAGAGCACCATCCAGCCTGACCGTGGGTGTGTGCAGGGATGGGGCACTGCCACCTCTCTGGGCACTCTGTGCCACTCCTCCCTGCCATCAGTGTATTATCGTGCCCTTATTTTGGGGACATTTTCCAAGAAAGCACTGCCTGTCACTGCCAACCTGGTAGCTCCTCTTCTGCCCTGCTGGGGCTGTTGGATTTGAATCAACTTCACGTGGAAATTATTTTTAACAAATATTTCTTATGGAAATATTCTATTTACAACATGTGCTAAAAGCATAAAACGTGAGAAGGCAGATTTGGGCACTGTATTTTTTTTTTTTTTTTTTTTCCTCAAGGACTCGGAGAATATTTTGCACAGTTATTTTAAACAGCTTTTATATTTAGCAAGACTAAGTATGATACGAGAACTAAATAAATCAGAGCAGCAAACACAACAGAAGAAAGAGAGAAGCCACAAAGCAGGTTTTGAGCCTGTTCAAAACATGTGGATTTGGAATACGTTTGCATTTGGAAATGCTGCATCTCGGTAGCAGTGCAGGTGGGTGAAGGGTTTGAAGCTTTGTGCTGCTCTAACACGGCACTGAAAGCTGACAGGGATGGAAAATGGTGTTTTTCTGGAGGATAATTGGAATTGAGGTGGAATGGAAGCATCACAGCGTGCTGGTCCTGGTCAGGGTTCAGGTGGGATTTGAAGCCTTTGTACTCCTTGCGTGATCCTGGTGGCTTTCTCCAATCTGGCAACTGAGAGCCTATGGCTGCAAAATGCAAAACCCAAGATGTTTGCAAGATGCCCTCCAGGGCTGTTATGGGGATAGCAGCACCTTACAACTCACTTTTCAACAGAAGGCCAGGGAGATGAGGTGTGGACATCAGAGCACAGGGCAGGATGGAGGCTGAGCACAGCAGAACTGATGGAAAAGGAAGGGGAAGGGCTGAGATGGGAGTGCAATGGGAGAAGGAGCCCTGGAGTAGGTGAAGTGTTTTCTGGTGCTGAGGAAATGACAAATTACTGGTGAGTTTGAAAATCATAAAAGTAAAAATATAACTCTGGCCGGGGACCTATTTATCTATCTATTTTAAAAAGCATTTTAACATCCATGTATTTTTAATTAAAAATACATTTTAGCACCAGCACAGCCAAACTACCACAGTGCCAATCTCCTTTTTTGGAAATTTTTCCTTAGCATTCTGAATTTATTACAAATTCATTGTTTCTAATACAATTTTTCCCCTTCTCTCGTCAATTTATTATCTGTTTTTCATTTCCCTTCTCTTTTGTTAATCTTTCTAAATAACTTTAAAGTGGTCCTCCATCTATTTAGCTAAATGAATTCACTCCACAGATACTCATTATTTTGAGAATGATTTATGCAAGCACTATTAGCTAGATTGTTCCTTGTTTGAAGGTTTTTCTGCAATCAGAACTCAGATTTGAGTCAGCTAGAATGAGATCCAGTGGAAAAAAAAAAATTATTACATAAAGTATTCAGCACCTCCATCAGACTTCGCACGTGGGAGGTCAGCTCACAAGGCATAAAAACACAAAGCAGCTTTCTGCTGTGGGTCTGACCCACTGATCTCATGTTAGCCTGGGAAATGCTATAGCATCATACTCCAAAATTAAATCAGATGTTGGGGTTGTTTTTTGTTTTTCAGCTGATCCTTGCAACTCTATGGGAAGAGGTTCTGTGTCGCAGTCACAGTGGGGTGCAGACATGTGTCATACAGAGAAGCAAGAGCCAGGATAGCCCTCATTCCTTAGGGTCACTGGGGGGTTTACAGCCCTTGGGAGGCTATAGGAAAAGTGGGAGGGGGAACAGTCCGTAAAACTGGCTTTATGAAAAATGCTTGAGAAGACTTGGGGAGCTTTCTGCAAAGTCCTATCTTGTCTGTACCAGCAAATAGCTGCTTTGCACTAAATAAATGAAATGATGAAGAAGACGAAGGGAGTGAGGTTAGATGCCCTCAATCCACATGTAGGCTGTGACAGAGCAGATCTGCTGTTTAATTTACAGCAGCATTGTGGCTGCTGTAGCCATGGGAGCTGTCTTGGCCCGGGTGGCTGCTGCCTGTGTGATTTTGGGGCAGCTGTGCCCATCTCCAGCCTTCCCACCTCCTGTGTGCTCTGTAGTACAGCCAGGTGCGTGCCAGTGGGGGACGATCTATGAGGGCCAGTTAAGAGCATTACACATCCCATTAGGGCAGCTGTGAAATTGCAAGCCAAGTGCCCATTCAGGGTATATACATCCTCAGATCAGTATTGATCTTGAGATTTCTGCTGGCTTATTAATGACAGCAGTGCTGTGGCCAGATCCTTCTAGCTGGTGTAGAACTGCAGCAGCTCTCCTGCTGCCAGCGCAGCCATCTGGAGTAAATGGAGCAGGATCTGCCCTGCTCCTTCCAACTGCCACATGTAGGTTAAGTAGGAAGCATGGGAGGGAGGGAGTGTTTTTCCAGCAAAACGTTGTCTCTCTTCAGCAATGACCACCATTGGAGTTAATTCATCTTTCGGAGGATGAGCCAAAATCCTCACTGAGGATTGGTTTGGGCCTATTTTTTTGCCAAGCTTCATCAGAATCCTCTGTTCTTGCAATAAAAGTCCCTCTTAGCTGCCATCGTTGTATGGAGTTTATTAATAAGGCTCTTGGCTTTAAATACTCTCCATCAGACAACAGGTTAAGACCTTGAAATTGCCATGCTCAGTATATGATGCCTGGCCATGGGAAGCCTGTCTGCAGCCCAGGCTCCCCGCAGCCCCAGCCCAGACAAGGACAGTTGCAGGGGAACGGCTTTGAGGGTGGATTTGTTGGCCAGGGGAGCAGCATCCTGCTCTCTGACATGGGGCTGGAGGGAGGCAGTGCCTGGTTTATGGCCTGGGCAGCAGAAGCTTGGCCTCTTCCCACTACAGTAGAACTCCTTTTGTTCCTTCAAAGGTCATTTTCCTGAGCAAGGTAATTTACGAGTGGAATTCAAGTTGGTCAAGGAGAGCCACACCACCTCGCAGACAAATCTTCCCTTCCTACAGTAAATTATGATTTGCCCTAATTATCCAGCATGGAAACTCCGAGCGCAATCTCTCCTTCACACCATCGCTTTGCAGGCCCGCGTCCTGCTTGTCAGAGGCATTGTTTGTTCAATAATAAAATGGCCACATACTGTTAATCACAACCTGCAAACATGTAATAAAACAACCACCGAACGCGCGTGTGTAAAACCATCTCCTCACTGGCCCCATTAGGCTCTGTGCTTTCTGCTCGGAGAGCGGCATGACCTCCCTTTTCAATCAATTCCCAGTTATTAACCATGAAGAATAGCGTTGGGAACTGCATTTGCAAATTGAATGTGGGGGTATAGACTGAGCTCACTCTTCAAAAGATGCCAGTCGAAGGGAATGCATCAAGCTAACATTCTTAATCTCCCTTTCCCCTCTTTCCACCTGCGCTACAGACGGATATAATTTACCAAATTTGAAATAACTTAGAAGAATCAAACTTCCTAAGCAGAGTTTTGAGGGGACGGTGCCTGTAATGGACTTTCTATTATCTGTTTATTCTGATCCCTCCGAGCTAAGCCCTTGAGAAGATTAGCTACTCAGCTAAAAATCACTGCAGTTTAAGAGCTGATCTTTATTTATTAAAACGCTCCGACCTCTAACTTGGGCTTATCCATTTATTTATTCAGACTAATGAATTAATGCCCCCGTGGCACTCAGGGGGGGGCTGCGGGACCCCCATGGGAGTGGGGTTGGATGCAAACCTACAACGCCCCACTCAGAGAAAAGCACAAACGGGGGGCTGCATCCGCCCCTTTGGGGTGCGCGTTCACGGGGAGCCCGGCGGAGGCGGAACAAACCCTGTCCCCTCCAAAAAAAAAAACACAAAAACCAACCAAGAAAAGATTTGTAAGGCCTTTAGGGGAGGGGTCCGCCTCCCCTTACTCGTGAGCGTGGCAGCCCGAGAGGATAGGGGGGGGAATCTTCCCTTCGCCACGCATCGCCCGGAGCCTGAACAAAGGTACAGGGAACGCAGCGCAGCCGTCCGGGGGAAAACATGCAGCCGACCCCCCGGGGCTGCCCCGGCTCCTCCCGGCCGCCCGCCCCCGCCCTGCCCCGCCGGGCTCCCAGCCCCCTCCGCCTCCGCTTCTCTCTCCTCCCCTCTTCTCTCCCTCCTCCCCCGGTAAATCCGAAGTTTCCTGTTAAGCACGGGCGAAGCTTTGCAAAGCGGTTGCGGAGCCGCCCGCTCGCTCCTTGGGATTACCGTCGGGAGAGACTCCGCTCGGCTCCGATCGGCTCGGGAACGGCCCCCGCCCCCGCCACCTCTCCTCCTCCTCCCCAGCCTTCCTCCATCCCCGAGGGCGGACGCTGCACGCCGAGCCCCGGTCTCCCCCCCGCCTCCGTTGGATTTACGTTGTCGTTGGGGAGCTGTGTATGGAGGGGGGGGTCGTCCGCCTTCCTTTGCCCCGATTGCAGCCTGGTCCCATGTGAACCGCACGGCACGGCTATGCTCCTGGGGACACCGAGCTCCGCCGAACTAAGGTAGGACCCCACCCCCTTCCCAGCAATATTCCATCCCTGAAAATCTAAAGGATGGGTGGGAGCACCCCAGAGGAGGGTGATGGAGGGGTGGGGGCACGGACATCCAGCTTCCCTTCTCGAGGGTGGGAGCGGCCGCGCCCGGAGGCGGCTCCTCGCCCCACACCGCCCGGCTTTGTTGCGGCCGAAGCGGCGGGGCCAGGTGGGAGCCGCGCCCGGCGCTGCGAGGGGGCTGCAGCCCCTCACCCCCTGCCCTTGCCCCGCAGGTCCTGGCTGCTACCATGAGTGATGGCGAGAGCCGAGAGCCGCGCCCGGCCGGCGGCGAGGTGCGGGTGCCCATCACCGTGCCTCCCCGCCGCCCCGCCGAGCAGCCCCTGGACGATGCCGGCTCCGTTCCCAGCGGTTCTCCCAGCCGCGACCCGCCGCCCGACCTGGCCTCCGAGGAGGAGGAGCAGGTGCCTTACCCGGCTCTGGCACCCACCGCTTTCTTCTGCCTCAAGCAAACCACCCGCCCGCGCAGCTGGTGCCTCAGGCTGGTCTGTAACCCATATCCTTTCCCCGAGGGGCACCGCACCCCGCACCATCCCCATCCCACTCCCGGAGCCCCTTCCCGTGCCCGGAGCACTTCACCAGGGTTCTGCATCCTAGTGCCCAGGGATGCTTGGAGCCCTGGGGTCCCTGCGGTTCCCTCTCTGCACTGCCCTGGTTCCCATTCCCAGGAGGAGGATGTGGGTCTGCACCCCCTCGCTGCAAGAGTGGGACACGTCAGTGTGCATCACCCCCCATGTATAACCCCCTGCTCTGGGGAGGAACACGGTGAGGTCTCAGCTGTGGTGTGGGACAGTGGGATGAGGTGCTCCGGTGTCACAGGGCTGGGGACAGCACCGAGTTGCCACCCGCAGAACAGGGAGAAACCCTTCAACTTCACTTCTCTCCCAGTCCGGGTGGGAGGGAGAGAAGTTTATAGGCAACCTCATATTTATTTGAGACGTGGTGGGGAATTTCAGACAGGCGCTGACCCTTTTGCTGTTTATATAAGAGCTCGGAGTGCATGTGTGCTTTCTCGTGGCAGAAAAATGGAGCGGGTCGGAGTTTGGGGAGGGCACACACATTGCTCCTAAAAACTCCCCTTTGCTTTTGTTCTTTTGCAACTTGCAGGCAGGGAAGGAGGAGGGAATGCAAAGCTCTGCATCTTCCCCCGTCTCCTGTGTCCTTTATCCAGTTTATTAACGTTAAATAAGAAAGAGCAGTCTGTTCCTTTCAGTTGTGACATACGGGAAAATTGAATTTTACCCGAAATGCTTGTGTGAAAGCTGAGAGTTGTCAGTCTGTCTCGGTGATCTTCAGAAGTGAGCTTTTAGCTGTGCTCCGCACGTCAGCTCAGCAGCATTGACATTGTGCAGATAATTAATGCTTTTTACCTCTACCCTGGTACCTGCCTGCAGCTCACTGCCTGCATCCTGCCGCCGCTATTAAAAGCATTATTTATTAATACTGTTAGTATTGATC